TTGTTTGTTGCTTGTGTTTTAGAGCCATTACCTAACCCTAGTCACAAAGGATTTTATTTTTGGTTGTGAGCCTATCCCTCCAGCCCCACAAAGGATTTTATAGTGCTGGCACTTACATTCAAGACTGCAGTCCATGTTGAGTGGATTTCTGTTTGTAGTGTGAGGCAGATGGTCTAATATCATTACCTGTCACAGGGTATCTTGTCAACTCAGCACAATTTGTTGAAAAGACATTTTTTTTTTCTTCACTTGGTACCCTTGTAGAAAATCAATTTACTGTGAATGTCAGGGCTTATTTTTGGACTCTCATTCTATTCTGTTGATCTATTGTCCCTCTTTATGTTAGCATTGCATTGTCTTCATCATTACAGCTCTGTGGTAAGTTTTGAAGGCAGGAGATGTTCATCCTTTATTTCTTTTAGCAATACATAGTTGATTTAAGACTGGATGTGTGTGTGGGGGGCATGTGTGCAGGTGTCTTCAGAGGCCGGAAGAAGGCATTGGGTATCCTGGAACTGAAGTCATAGGATGTTGTGAACCATCTAATGTGTGTGCTGGGAACCACACTTGGATTCCCAGGAAAAGCAGGGAGTGTTCTTAACCATTGAGTCATCTCTCCATCCCTGCTCTTTTTTTGTGTGTGTGTTTATTTTTAGATTTGTTGTTCTAGATTCTTTGACTCTGTTTATGAAATTTAGGATCATTTTGTCAATAATAGAAACAGTGTTGAATCTCCAGATCAGACTGGAAATACTGGCATCTGACAAAACCAAGTCTTCTGCTTCACTGACATGAGATATGCTTCCACTTGTCTAAGCATCTTCTGTCTTCTTCCAGCAATGTTAGACAGTATCTGGAGTGTTAATTCTGTACTCCTTTTGTGCAATTCATTTTGAATATTTTTGTTTCTATTAATAGACTCTGTTAATAAAGATTGTTTTCCCTGTTTCTTTTCAATCTTGGACTACTAGAAATAAGGTGGTCCACATTATGTTTCTAATGCACAGTACCACTCTGGATGGAATAAAGAAGCTGAGATGTGAGAACTAGCAACGTCGGGATCTATCCAAGGTGCTTATGAACTCATGTTTGGGAGCTATGGTGTATGAAACCTGTTAGAGGATTTCCTTCTCAGGGAAATGATGTGGAAGTCCTGTGTCAATAAAGCACTGCTGGCCAATAGGAATCTAGATAGGTGGGACTAGGAGTCCAGGAGGACTCTGGGAAGGAGAAACACAGAGAGTCAAGATGTAACGCCATGGGGTAGGAAGCCCGGAACTATTCTCTGGTAAGAGAAATACTTAGATTAACAATTATGGGGTAATTACTTAAGTCAGAGCTAGCCAGTAAGAAACAAGCAAGGCTAACAGCTTCATAATTAATACAGCCTCCTATATGTTTATTTGGGACTGATGCGGCTCTAGAACCAGGCTGGTGGGAAGGCTTCTCTCAAGGAAAAGGCTTCTCTTTACAGGGAAATCATGTATTTAAAAACTTTGTGTGGTGATGTCTGTGTACATGTTCATGTGTACGCATATGTGTACATGTGCATGTAGAGTCCAGAGGTCAACATAGGTGTCCTTTAACACTCTTATTTTCTGAGATAGGCTTTCTCACTGAACCTGGGCTGAACTGTAGACTGGGGAAAGAAAACAGCCAGACTTTCTGGGGCCTGTTGGATACTAGTTCAGAATTGATGCTGATTTTAAGAGATCCCAAGAAACATGTGGCCCTCAAGTTAAAATATGGGCTTATGGAGGCCAGGTAATTAATGGAGTATTGGCTGAAGTCTGACTCACAGTAGGTCCAGTAGGTCAGACCTCATCCTGTGTCATTTCCCCACTTCCAGGATGTATAATTGGGACAGATATACTTAGAAATTGGCATAATTCTCACATTGATTCCTTGACTTGTGGAATGAGGGCTAATACAGTTGGATAGGTTAACTGGAAGACTTTAGAGTTGCTGTGGTCCTGGTGTCTCATCACAACAACTCTTATGAAGAAAAACATTCAGCTAGAACTTGCTTATAGTTCAGAGGTTTAGTCCATCACCATTATCATCATGGCCAGAAGCAAGGCAGCATGCAGGCAGACATAGTACTGGAGAGGTAGGTGAGAGTTCTACATCTGGATTCACAGGCAGCAGGAAGAGAGAGTGAGCCACTGGGCATGGCTTGAGCTTTTGAAACCTCAAAGTCCACTCCCAGTGACACAGTTTCTCCAACAAGGCCACACCTCCTAATAGTTCCGCTCCCTATGAGCCTATGGGAGGTGGGGTGGGGTGGGGCTTTTCATTCAAACAATCACAGTCACTGATTTAGTTAGACTGACTGACCAGTAAGCCCCAGGGATCCTCTTGTCTCTACCTCCACCTGCTGGGATTATAGAGGTGCACCACAGTGAGGCTGAGGATTTGAACTCAGGTCCTTGAACTCAGTCAGCAGTGTTGCTGGCTGAACTATCTTCCCAGATGTGGAAGGCACTAATCTTATATTCAAACTGAACACAAAACAGCTGCTTGAGGGACCTGATCAGATGAAACTGTAGATTCTTCTGTGTGATTTATTTCTTAGCCGTTGGGCCTAAAAAGGTAGCAAAGCATTAACATGAAACCATTACTTGATTCCAGGCGAGAGAAACCAGGAGAAAGGCAGAACCACAGAGAACTCTCTGATATCTCTTCAGTGTTATAGCCAGGAGAGGAGAAATGGGATTGTCACTAGGCCTGTTCTGAATTTCATACATCTCTCCTTTATCATCCAGGCTGTCCCCAGGAAAATATCCCTGCTCCCTCGGGCTTGGTATAGATGTTCCTTTCTATGTGTGCCCCAGTCTTTGGTGACACTCCCTATGTGGAACTGCTACTGCTTATTTCCCCTCTTGCCAATGTTCTGAGAGTCTTGCTAACCACTGGACCTTCTGAAGAGCACATGGGGACAAATACCAAGTGGAGGCATAAGCAAGTGAGCACAGCGTCTCACTTCAGAACGAAACAATTCACAACATTAAAATACACGTTTCCGTTTAGGGGAAAGAATATTGCTTGTTGTCAGGAAGCTGGCCTGAGTTCTACTCCTGAATGGACTACCTACAAGCTTCGTGACCTGGGATAGGTCATCACACTGGATCTGACCAGTTGCCTGTAAAAGAGGGTACAGCGATTTCACTTCCTGCTCCCTTTCACACCTAACATTCTCTGAGACTTTGGAGACAGGCCAGCATAGGTCTCCTTCCTGAGAAGCTATTCAACAGCTGCTAATTCCCAACCTTCCTCAGAGGCTCAGAGGCTCCCCCTCCTTCCCCTCTTCTATGTCTTAGCAAATATTAATAGCCAAAGGCATTGCTGCATGCAGTTTTTAATAGAATCCAATTTCAGCCCATTTAGAGTGGGACTTTTCATGCTGACTTGGTAATTTGAACTATACCATGCCCGATGGACAGAGTACATTTGCCTGGGCCTCCAACACCTGTCCTGGGCTGCCTGGTACTGGCTACATAGGGAGGGACATTTTAATCAAAGCAGCTGCACCATCAGTAAGTAGTTCCACTGCACAATGGTCACAAGATGAGGAATACCAAGGGCACCGGAAGGAGAGTGGGCAATTTCTCTTCCGTTTCCTAATAGTTGCTTCCTCCTTGCCGCATGGTGGCTGCTTGCCCTCTTGGGTGGATTGTTGGGGAGAAAACTGTGTTGCTCTTTGAATATGGGTTCTGAAAGGTATCAGTGTGTTTCCCAACTGTTCCTGTGGAGACAGCAAGAAGCAGTCACATGGAGCTTGCTCAGTTTCCCACCATCCCTCCCAAGAACTTGTCCTGTTTGACCAGACTTACACAAGGGCTTTTCGAGTGCTGAGTGTAAGACTAGGGAGGGCAGGCATAGAGGTATCGTTATACTGTAAATGAGGAAAATTGAGGCTGAAGAGGGTAGGAAAGGAAACGATTGTTTATTCTGTGCTCACTCTGTTGCAGACACTAGCCGGGAGGCAGTTATTTCTTAATCCTCATAACACCCTCCTATGCAGGTTAGGAAAATGGGAGTCAGAAAGTTAAGTAACTATCTATAATAAAGCTTCACCTGTCCGCTGTAAGACATCATCACATGGTTTGAAGTGATGGAACCAATGGAATGAGTCTGCTGGTCTCTATCAGTGCTGTCCCCGCAATGTGCCTGGTTATCAGAACTTTCTAAACACTCTTATGTCTTGGGCACTAACCCTGTAAGTCTGATTCATCAGGTCTGAGGTTGAACCTGGGAGCATGAACTTTCAAAAAGCTCAAGTGATTATGGTGTTTGAGAAAGCAAGGGCCGGAGCATGTGGCTTCCCTGCCAATGCAAGTCTTACAGGAAGATCTCATTTCTCAGGAGCACAGATCTAGTCTACCCTGCATTATACCACAAGCAATATCTGCTGCCAAATCCACTGTTCATTCATCGCAGGGCCTGTGCTCGGCAGCTTCCCAACACCTACAATGTCAGACATTCTGACTGCAAGGAAACCTGAGCACCTGCTTTGGATAACAAACACCCAGGCAAGGGGACAGGTAAATGTAAAGAGGACATTCTGACCAGGTGTGGTAGACACTGGGTGGAGGTGGGAGGCTTTGCTTTAGGAACACAGACTAAGATTTGGAGAGTGACCCTGGGTCAGAGCTCAAAAGAGTTGCAAGGCAAAGATGGGGTGACATGAGAGGAATGCCCAACAAGACACAGGGGCCAGTGTGGACAAGTCCCCCAGCCCCAGCTCTGTGGCTCAGGACTACATGGCTAAGGAATGGAGGATACTTTTAGAGGGTCAGAGGTGAGCCTGCTAAAGTTAGAGCGAGACTGTGCAGGAGAGACCTGGAGTGTTATGTGAAGGGGTTTGGTTTTTATCTCAGGAGCGACGAGAAGTGACGAGGCATCTTGAAGTTGTGGAAGCTCCTGCTTGCATTGCCTCCTGGACACGAGGGTCTGAGGACACGAGGGCAGGGAGAGGCTAGCAACATAGGACAGATCGATTGCAGAATCAGGAATTTATGTATGTCAAAAAGCACCGTAAATGAAAGCCAAGCACTTGGGAAGCAGATCAACAGCATTTCTTCACAAAAATAATATTCTTAAAGTTACAAACAGATAATAAACATTAAAGATAAACATACCAATATCAAATAAATAGAGAAATTCACAAGGAAAGAAATACAAATGATCAAGAAGCATATGAAAATGTTATTCACTGATAATCAAAGAAAGTTAAAGCAATCAGTTGAAATACCATCGACATACTGTCATTTGCCTATAAAGTTGGCAAAGATGTGATTAGTGTTAATACATAGTTCTTGTTCAGGCCCAGAGAGCGGGGCACTCTGGGGGCTGCAGACAGGACAGTGTTTTGGTACAAACTTCCTACAGGGCATTGGCAACATGTATCAAAAGCCTTGAAAATAGCCAAGCAATTTCCTTCTTGGATTTTATCCTAAAGAACTCATCATAGACATGTGCGAAATTTAGGGACAAGAATGTCAGATACAACGTTATTTACAATAAAGACTGGGACCAAGTGGAAACATCCGTATCTGTGGATAGGTTGCAAAGTAAAGATCCACCCATATAGTGAAGATGCTAGTGTACAGATCCAAAAGACATGCCAAAATGCCCATGACGTGTTACATAAAGCAACAGAGAAAAAGTACCTGATATGCTACTACTTGTGAGTAATAAAAGAACATATATATATATACATATCTTTGAAAAACTGTGTATCTCAGTAGGGTATACAAGAAACCAGAAGGAAACTAGCTGTGATCAGACAAGGGAAAAAGAATTACTTCCAACTGCAGAGTTTGTGTACTATTTGAACTTTATATATCTGTGCACATATTGCATATTCTAAAATATAAATACACATTTGAAAAGTAAGTTATTAAAGAGTATATACAGCATGACCCAGTTTTCCTCATTAAAAAACAAACAAAAACTGGTGAGAGCATGTGTACACATTTATACCAAGGAGAATGAACCATGTGCCAAAAGGATAAAAATGTGGTTGTGTGATGGATTGGATTTCATCCTTAACTTTCCTTAAACGTTTTACAATACATACGGGAGGGTTTTGTAACACAACAAAAAGTATCAGTTTTATGTCAAAGGGTCTCTCACGAAAGTCCAGGCAGATGACAGTGTCATTCAGATTCATGATGAGTGCTGTTTACACAGTTCAACAATGACACCCACCAAGTCTGTAATTAGAGTACAGTCCTTGATTTTAGGAGATGTGGAAAAAAGAAGAGTAAACAGCCCTCTGAAGACTATACTGACAAATTCACAGCAAATTCAGCCCTGCCACCCCTAAGTGTTGACTAATACCCCAGGCAGCTTCTATTGGGGGGCATCACTTAAGTCTGGGTCACAGTGAATGGAGTTCCCAGGAGCATATGTGTTAGAGTCACTGGATAAGACAATGTCTATACACTTGTCCTCACCTCGTTGTGCCTTGCAAGCATTTTCTTTTGGGGGAGGACAATGATTTTACCCCTATGAGTATAACCCTCACCCAATGCATTCATTCAACCAAGCCTTTTCTCTTGCCCCTTTGTTGAGAATATGTACCTAAATCATTACTAATACTTTGAAGAACAAAGGGGGAGCCTGCCAGCTTGAACTCATTCTGTAGACTACCTATGCCTCATTTTCATCCTTCACATTCTAATAGTTTGTCAACTTATAAACTCTGAACTTGGGGATGGCGTTGGTGGTTAAGGGGATGGACACAGGCATATGCCAGGACTGAGAAGAGTTTTGGGTTGGGTCATGTGAAGTCATTTTGGAGGAGGAAGACAGGATACGGTCAAAGTCAGGGACAGAAGCAGGGAATGTGGTACCTGGGATGGCTTTTTCCTTTTCTTCTTCTCCAGAGCCCCCGTGGATCTCTGGATATTTCTAGCACCTTCCCGCAGCCCCCAGTGAAAGTGTTTGGGGAAGCTGTGTGGATAAAACCTATGCTGTTGGCTTCTGGGTCTCTCAGCAGTGACTGGGTCTTGCAGTGACAGAGCCACTACGTAAACAAGTAACCCATAATTAACTTCCTGTTTCTCTTCAGTCTTTGCCTATGATTGTGACTCTTTCCCACTGCTGGCCGTACAGTGAGGAATGCCAGGTGGGTTGTCCAGATTTATGCTGTCCCATCAGCAAATAGAATGACCAGCACACAGATGTTACTGCTGGCTCTCAGTTGTCTTCTCCTGGCTGGTCATTGCTCAGGCCACTAGGGCTTCTGACTTCTGGTCTCTTTCTATCTTGTGTATGTAAATATAAGGCAGGCAGGGCACTGATGTGGTGAACATTTTCCAACTTAATGCATTTTTTTTCTGCTCAAATAGTTGTTACGGAGCGGCAACTAAGCATAGGATAGTTAGTAGCCAGAGCTCTGGAGTCAGACAGATCTGGTTCAATCCTAGCCATGTCCTGTAAGGCTATGTAACCTCAGGAAAGTCAATTTTTCTGACTTTCTGTTTTCTTCTCCATCACCTGGGAATAATAGCTCACAGAGTGATTATATGAAAGAAATGAGATTGTCCATGTAAAGATGTAAAGATCTGAAGATAGAGCATTTAATAAATTCTAACTATTAACATTATTGCATCTGTATATATTTTAATTTTATATAACAAGGTCTCACTAAGTCACACGGAAAATACATGAAAGTGCCTTGAAAATGTTTAAGCATCCTACATATTAGTGGTGTCATTGGTAATAATCTCATATGGATTTCTCAACGTTTCTATCTCCGTGAAGACTGGGACTACATCCTATATTGCACTATGGTGGGGGAACTGTAATCCCCCAGGAGGTGTTTCAACATGGCATAGCATAAAAAGCATACAGGCCAGGAGACCAGGCTGGGATCCAATTAGTTTAAGGCAGGAGAGTCAGTCTGCAGTCGAAATTTATCCATTCAACAAAAGTTTGTTATGTGTTAGATACCAGGTGCAGGTAATTTTGTCAAAAAAGGGGGTCTGAACAAATTCTCACAAATCCAAGTCCTGGAGCAGTCTCCACAATCCCAGCCTACCCCAAAAGCACAAAGGCTGTGGCCAACATGTGCTTAGTTTTGGGCTAATGGTCACTGGCTTTAGGGGAAGCTAGAGGCCACTCTGCCCTAGGGACAGGAAGGGAAGAGGCGTGAGGGAGTGGACTGTGTTCAATAGAAATGACAGGAACTGATGCCTGTGAACTAGGTTTTATTTATACTAATTAGTCCAGTCCCTCAGCTCACCCAAGCCTCTTTCTTTCCCTCCTCTGTCACCTACACCGTCTGCTCTGCCCCCACCATTTGGCCCATTTCACCCTGCCCTTCTGCTGTCACAGCTGTGTGCTGGCTGGGAGGCGGGGGAATGGTATGTGTGGTCACCAGAGGGCACTGAGAGTGGGTCTCAATGGTATGTGAACCCTGGCAAAGACCTGACCTCCCAATGGGAGAGAAGAATGTACAAGCCTAGACAAGTAAGGGGGTGTGGCAGGGGTGACCGGGCGGGTGGAAGGAAATTCACAGTCTTAGCACTGGGTCAAACAGTGCTTCCCCGTCCAGCAGTCCCAGATTTCTTTCAGTTTCCTCAAGATGCTCTGGTTCATCAAGAAGATGTACAGGGTCCAGACTGTCCGCTGCTCACACCTGCCAGACTCAGAAACACTGGCCCAAGTTAAAGCCACGGTGCCATCCCCACCCAGTCCGTGAGACTCTTCCCCAGTTGTCCCATTTGCTGGCCTGCTAGGGAAGAGGATAAGTCCATGTTTGGGCCTCCCAGCAAGGTCCAGGAGTGCCTCTCACCTTTTCACACTGGGAGTAGACAGAGTTGGGGAGCAACAGGAAGGAGGAGGAGTACAGGAAGAATGGAGAGAGAGGGAAGAGAGCCCACACGGGGACTCTCCACCAAGGGTGCCTGGAAGTCCCTAGTCGGGTATGGGTGTGGCTCGGCAGAGGCCTCTTCATTACATGGCTTCTTTCTCTCTTTGGGAACATCTGCTGAGCTTCATCTCCGTCAGCTGGATGTACCGAATCACATTGGTGTCTGTGGGGAGAGAGAACACTGCTCAGGGACTACTGGGCATGGATTATGGTGGTTATCTTCAAAGAAGGGGGCAAGAGCTGGGCCTAAAGCCTGGTGATAGACGAGATTCATCCAGCCAAGGTCCCTTGCTCTAAGTGGTAGCCAGATGCCAGACTTTTCCTCACTACTTCTTCCTCGCAAATGTGACCAGCCTATTATGGCCTGGCAGCAAGAAATGATCTCAGTGGTTCCTGTGTCAGCATGTTATCTGAGAGTTTGCTTGGCATTAACCCTCAAGCAAGCCACCAGCTTCTCTACCCTTGTGCCTCATTTGCAAGAAACAACGTTCAGTTTTAATGTATACTTTGTGTTTTTTTTTAAGTTAAAAAAATGCTGCTTACGGCCGAATGTAGTGGCACATGTCTGTAAATCCCAGCACCTGGGAGGTGAAAACGTGAGTTCAAGCTCATCCTTGACTACATATCCAGTTTGAGGCTAGCTTGGGCTACTTGAAACCCTATGTCAAAAACCTTAGCAAACAAAATGTTTGTAATGGAGGGTGTTGCCCAGGCTGGAATCAACTGATATTCTTGCCTCAGATTCCCAGGCACCTGGGACTACAGGTGTGATAAGGTTTTTTAGCCTGCATTGTCTCATCTAGTTCTTAATACAACTAAGGTATGTATCTTGACTGTCATTATGGCAAAAGGAAAATTTCTACCTGGAAAAATTAAGATGCTCAGGGAGCCAGACATTGTGGCACACCCTTTTAATACTATCACTTGGGAGGCAGAGACAGGCAGATCTCTGTGAGTTGGAAGCCAGTCCGGTCTACATAGTGAGCTTCAGGACAGTCAGGGCTATGTAGAGGGAGTTGTGGCAAATAAAATAAAATAAAATAAAATGAAATTAATGATCAAGGAAACACGTAGTGATTGGCATGTCTGTCCAAGCCTGATTCTCCTGGGAATCAGACCTTCTCATAGAGTTGCTGTGAGGGCCAGAGGAGGGAAGCCAGAAAAGTGCTTAACATAGCGATCAATGAGCATTAGATGAATGCATTGTTTTACTCAACTTAGGAGCTTATAACGACTTTGCTCCGTGCTTATTTTTTGTCTTTGTAAGCACAGCCACAGAAGCATTTTCTCCTAATTCCAGTCCTTACATTGAGAGGTGCATGGCTTGCTAGAATTGCTTAGTTCTGTACTTACCATGACATATGGACCACACTGCTGCCTGAGATGCCTACTTGTGGAAGTAAAAATGATACAGCATCATGCTTAAAAGCCCCAGGCATAGCTTCCTGTACCGGCATATAGCAGGTGCGCAAGGAAACTGCTGGAAGAGTTTGCTTTTAGTTCCAAACCTGCTTGTAATATAGTTGGCAGACCGCACTTTGTATACAGAAAACAAGCAAAGCATATGTAAAAAACAGAGAGGTAATCTTTAAAAAGACAAAGGAAGAATATGCTTGGGTGTTTGAAACTTGAGAAGTTCTTAAAGATAAGGATTGGAGGGAATCTTGCTATCTTAAGGAATCTGCCACATGAACAATAACAACAAGCCAAAGCCACCGCCTACAGTTCACCTTGTCTGAGAGGCTGTCTCACCACCTCTTCTAAAACAGCGTTCCCTTTACTCTGCTTTATTTCCCTCATAGCATTTACTACTGTTAAATAATGCATCATTGACTTGTCTGTGTGCTTCCTCCATTATAATGAGTGTTCCTTGTTGGGTGTGGTAGGCAAACACTTATAATTCCAGCACTCGTGAGGTGGAGGTAGGAGGATGGGGAGTTTGAGTACAGTTTGGTTGACACAGCAAGACCTTGTCTCAAAACAAACAAACAAACAAACAAACAACAACAAAACACCAAACCAAAACACAAACCCAAAGAAAACAAATAACTTCCCCTTGTGTTGTCCAGTCTGGTCTGAACTCCTAGGCTTACACAGTCTTCTTGCCACAGCTTCCTGGATGCTAGGACCCTGGGCACAGCAGCTGTCTTCTTTGCTCACTGCTAATGTACTCACCACAGAGAATAAGTAGTTCTTGACCCATTGCACTACCTCAGAAAATACTCAGGGGGTGAATAAATGATGGGAAAGCTAATACACACAATGTAAAGGAATGAGATCTGATTGGAGAAATTGGTGTCTGCTTCCTGGAAGATGCTGTGCTTAGCGTCAAAAGTTTCTGTTCACATCTGTCTTGTCAGCTGACTGTGGACTCATGGGAAAGGGGTGATACCTTCTCATCTACATAGTACAAATTGTGCTACATACTAAGAACTCTGTATCTATTTATTGAATGAGAGAAGAGACCTAGGTTTGAGTTGGGAAAGTCAAAACCCAATCCTATAGTGTATCTGAAGAGAAGAGATGCCCCGAGTCCCTGGGAACCAAACCCCCGGTGAAAGTGTGAACCATGTATTCTCCTCATTCCAGGTCTTACCTATGCCTGAGACCTTGTTTTCTATTATTGGGCCCACCTAGCTCTGCCAGTCACAGATGCCATCTTCTGCAATGAGCAGGCCCTTGGTATTGTCAGGGGTGTCTGTGATGAGAAAGCAGAGATAGTTGTCTCACCTGTTGGTTGTCGGGTCCTTGCTTCTTTTAGGTAGTAGAGAGCTTTGTCATAGTCCCCAAGATGATAGAAGGCCACACCAGACCTGTAAAGGGCCTTGAAGTTCTCTCCTTCCTTCTTCAGGACCTTGAGGCAATACTCCTTCACTCGCTCATAATTTACTAGCTCAGCCTGGAGCAGGCAGGCTGTGGAAGAAGGAAAAATAAAGAGAAAATGCCATCACCAAAACTGGTAGGCTCTGAATACCTTCTGCTAGTCTAGCTTGTGAACCACAGCCCCCACATGTGTCCCAGGATAGCTATGAGTGCAGCCCAACCCATTTGTAGATGACAACATTGTCATGCTACAGTGCTAGACACTCCTGCCTCATTCTTTCTGTGATTCAAGAATCAATGGTTACAGGACCAGTTTCATCACCAAGAAGACACATAACTAAACATGTTACATAGCCTTATATTATGGATCAAATTATATCTCCCTTAAAAGATACATGGGTACTATCAACTGTCAGTACCTGAGAACGTGACCTTATTTGGAGACAGGATCTCTGTAGAGGTAATCATGTTAATAGCAGGTCATTAGAGTTTGCTCAAATGATGTGACTGGTTTCCTTATAAAACGGAACAGACTATCCCTCACAGCCTTCCAAAGGAACCAACCTACTGACAACTTCATTTTGGACTCCTAGCCTCCAGACCCTACAGCAACACAACTGTGTGACCTGGGGCCATCTAGTCTGGGGGACTTTGTTACAGAAGCCCAAGAAAGAAGCTATCAAAGGCAATGGTAATAAGACTAGCTAGTACTTGTTTACTGCCTGCCTTATACTGGAGACATGTCTCACCATTTTATGTGCATTTATCTGATGTAACCCTCAGAATATCATGGTGTAGGTACTATTATTACTCCATTTTACAGATAAGGAAATTGAGCCTTTAAGAATGTAAGAATGTTCTTGAGAGTACAAAACATGCAAGAGGCAAGGATAGGTTTAAACTACTGGCTGGCTCCACGGCCTAGATTCTTTTTCATCAGGTTTTTGGGTGTGGGATACAAAATAAGGACCATAAAGTACGCAATACGTGGCTTGGCATTCAATGGGCATTCAAACAATGTTTGTCAACTTTACTATCACTCTGTCTAGCTTGTACCAGGGCAATGTGCCCTGACCTCTGTCAAGACAGGCCATTGTCTTTTTCCTTCCTTCTTACTCTTGTCTACAGTTCCTGAGAGGGAGAGCTTTCTGATGAGCTAGTGACCAGCTCATACAGGAAACGTTCTGGACATGGAGTCATAGGTGTTCCAGGCAAGAGGAAGCTAAGGGCGGTGGGTGCTAATTCTGCATTTGAATAAAGCATCTTCCCTTGAAGTATTTTCTCATTGGCCTGAGCCACAGGGCTGGGACAGAATGAAAATGTTCCTGGAGGAGATTGAACCATCTTGTGGCCCTGGGCACTTCCCTGGGTACCTGCTGAGACACTTCCACCATATTTAGTAAGCAGACTACCAAATAGGTTCATTGTGCACATTGGAAGGGCTGCAGATAGGGGAGGGTGGGAAGGTGCCTGCCTGCCTGTTTCAACAAATCAAACCAAAACAGAGACACTGGACCACCCATGGCCAGCCTAGGTAGGCAGCAGGAAGGGCTGCTGGATGATGTGTGGCTGTCTCCTAGTGTTCATATTAGAAGAGTTGTGACAACACAGGGTCTCACTATGTATTCCTGGGTGGCCTGGGACTCTCTTTGTAAACTAGGCTGGCCTCAAACACACAGAGGTCTACCTGCCTCTACCTCCTGGGTGTATTAGATACATGTGCTACCACACCCAGCTTTAATCTTAAGAGTTACAATTTCCCTTGTTTCTATCCCCCCAGTAATCTTCCTTAACACATTCTGAACACAGAACCCTCCTTTTGCATGCTAGCAGGTGAACCACACAAACTCTCAACCAGAGGATATGAGAACCAGGAAATGAATGAGAGCTAGAAACCAACCCACCAGGTTTTCCTAGCTGCTAGGCAGAAAGACAAAAGCTGCTCAGCAGGGGCAGCAGGCTCACCCTCAGGGTGACTGTTCAGCCAGTCACAGCTGTTGGTATACCAGAAGCTCTTAAGCCATGAGCTGATGTCACAGCCTCCCCTCCACCTTCAAGCAGGAGGTCCTGGACTCCTGTGTCCCTTCCCCTGTCCTAGGCTATGCTGAAAGGTGGGCCTTTGAAAGGGGGTTCCTGGATGTGATCCCGCTGGCAGCTACCTGTGTGAGACACAGCTCCTACGTGTGCTCTTGGAGCAGGAGGATTTCCGGTGTGTAGCTTCCTCCCGCCATGTCTGATGCCTTCTTTGCTAGGGCACAGTACCTTTTTGCAGTCTCATCCTCTAACTCTGAACCCACACTTCTGTTTACTGACCTGGGAAGTCTAGGAAGGACCTCTGCCTCTTTAAAAATAGTGTTTTTTGGATGTCTAAAGCAGCAGAGAAAGGAAGCAGGAAGCCGGAAATAGGAAAGCCTCACCCTCTCCCAGCCCCTAAGGGTGAAAAGCAAATACAGTGGTCTAATTTGACTCTCAGCATACAAAAATGTTTCTAATTCCCTTGTAAGCAGCCCTATGGGAACTAGGGCACCTGGCTGAGGACTGGGTTTCAGACCTGAGAGGCGGCAGGGCCAGGCTGGTAACAGGGCGTGGAACCCCTGCTCACACTGGAGGCAGCACCCAGGGAGACCGAGAAGTGGGCAGCCTTCCAGAGAAAGGCTGAAGCAGAAGGTGGAACTCGAGTAGTGGAATCAAGATAAGGAGCCGGGGTGCCAGGCAAGGGCTTGAAAGAGGATGCAGGTGGAGAGGGTGACCTGAGTCCTACTAGCTGGTGATACAGAGGCACCCCTCTGCTTGGGCTGGGGAACTCTCCGGGCACATGTAATAAATCTACAATGAGACAAGACATTTGCAGGCAGCTTTGAGTGTTGAAGAACTTAAGAATAAGGTGACAGTCTGCTTCCAACCAATCATCCTTTTTGTGTAGGTTGGGAGTTTGCAAGGGGACCCTCTTCATAGTAAGGGTTGTGTGTGTGTGTGTGTGTGTGTGTGTGTGTGTGTGTGTAAGTGAGTGTGGCATATAGACACACATGTGTGCAGATATAAGCACCTGTATGTGTGTGCAGAGGGCAGAAGATGTAGGCTGCCATGGTCTGGGACTTGCCATCTTATTCCCTTGATACAGGGTTTCCCACTGAACCTGGAGCGGTGACCGGCAAACCCTAGAAGACTTCTTGTGTGTCACATCCTTATGTGTGCTATGGTTACTGACATGCATATGAGCACTCCTGGCTTTATATGGGTTCTGAGATCTGAACTCAGGTCCTCACACTTGAACGGTACTCTTCCACACTGAGTCATCTCCTCTCCTTAAGCAACGCATCCTTTGGTTCACTGCCAGAGCTGGGCTCAGTACCTTACACAGACTGTGCATGTTGTTAAATCTCCACAACTCTATGGAATAGATTCTGTTTTTATAGTCCTTCATAAATGATGAAATTGAGTTCAGAGAAATTAAGCAACTTGCTGAAGGTCACTCAACTAGAGGGAGATATCAGACCATTTCTGCCAGACTCCCAGGAGTGTGCCAGAATACTGGAGTATCTGCATTTGAGGCCCTCAGAAACCTATACCACTCCTGGCAAGAAAGAACACCTTGCAAGCTACTGTGTCCAAGAGCAACAGGTAAGAGTGTGCTTTGTAGAACATGGATCGTGGGTGGGGGTAGGGATGGGTCAATGCATTCTCTACTTTGGGTATTTTTAACCTGTGACCAGCAGGCCATTTGTGTCCCTGGCTAGCTATGGCTGTGCCCCAACCCATTTATAGATGACAGTGTCATATTACGGTGTCAAATTTTGGGTCCCCCCCATCCATTCACAGAGCCTGAGACACTGCTAAGAAGGCAGGTGTTATATCCTAAGGGAAAGGGCAGAATGGAAACACCAATGAACGATGGAAGGGGCCTACACCAACCTGGAGCATCACAAAAGGTCTTCCTGGAAGAGTGACCTCTAAGTTGGAAGTGAGACAGTGGGGGTTTCTAACCCACCATTATGAGCATTGGGGGCCAGATAACGTCTTGTTACAGGATAAAGTCTTGGGCATTGTGGTATGGTTAGCATGGCTTCTCTTCACCAGGCACTAACTGCAACAATTGACAAATACCCATAGGCATTGCTAAATGTCCCCTGGAGGGGTAAAAATCACTCTTGCTTGAGGATGACTGGTCTAAGAGAAACTAAGAAAACTTTTCTAGGTAGCTGGGAAGAGAGGGAGAAATGGGAGAGGGAGAGACGGACACACGTGGAGAGGGAGCACACATGCACACTGGCGAGGGCCGCCTGAGGGCCTCCAAGAAGCCACAGCAGGCTGGAGCAGTGAGCCCAATGGGAAGCCTGAGAGAAAAATTGAAGCTGCAAAAGCAAGAAACCAGGACACCCAGACCTTCTTTTCCATTTTGGGGTAAGTGTGGATTTTCAGGGTATTCATTTAAAATGGAAACGGACAGACAGGAGGCCTGGGTCAATGTGTGACATCCAGTGGGTGGAACTAGCTAGAGCGGGAAAACCCTGTAGTGTTCACCCTGCTGTTTCTCTGCAAGTTTGGGTCACAAGGAAATTTCTGCTGAGGAAGAAGTATTCTCTCACTCTGCTGCGATCTGCTGTTTGTTTAAACTAAAGTTGAATTGTGTCGTGTGGTGCAGACCAATATTCCCTAGGCCGGCCCACCTTTGCCTCTGACCAGCAGGACAATAATAATTTTCTCTTTGTAAGCCTTGACTTCCTATCTGCTGAACCAGGGGCCTACACTTTATTAAATGGTCTCTACCATCCTTTTAGATCTAGCAGCCTGAGTGTGTGTGTGTGTGGGGGGGCATTGGTCTCTTCGTGTGGAAGAACACAATTGTTCATTTGGACCCTTGTCAAAAGGAATTCCATTCTTCCTGATGAGTGAAATGTTTTCTTTATGGTCAGAATAAGAAGGCAATGGTCAAGTGGTAAGATGACTTATCACCCCTATCCCTGAGTGGGTCTGTTTCTCTCTCTCTCTCTCTCTCTCTCTCTCTCTCCCCCCGTGTGTGTGTGTGTGTGTGTGTGTGTGTGTGTGTGTGTGTGTGTGTGTGTAAACCAGAGGACAGTTTGAAGTGATCT